GTGTCAAGTGGCGCACTATCTCCCACGCATGGTCACAGGTTCGAATCTCGGACCGATATCTTCCTAGGCTAAGCAAGCCTTCCATCTCTGCGGGGTCGGTTAATTGGTACCAGACTCCTCTGGGAGTGCAAAACCATCGACTTGCTCATCGGTTGGTCACCGCAAGTCATTGTATAGGGCACACACGCATTCGATACGACACTACGATTCTGAATGGAAGTCGAATGCGTGGGCGCATTCCTCAGACGGAATTGATAAGCGCCCCAGGACTATTCTTTATCTTTTACGAATGACGACAGAACCGTCAGAAAACTGGGTCGGCAGGAATTCCCCACCCACCCTTCTTCATGGTGATCTCATTGGTTACCGATACGGTCGCGATGTTTGTGATTGGCCACTACTTTTCTCCCGCAACAAAACTATCCCAAATGAGTTTTTCAGAAAAATTGTTCTCTTCAGCTTTAGCCCTTGTAGAACAACAGTTGAATTTTTGAATAGATTTATTATTGAGAAACGGATTGGTCAAGTCCGAATCTCAAGAAATTTTTATGTCGTAGTGCTATCTACAGAGCTCCCGCGTCGCGTATGTGTGGTCTTCAGTTTGTGAATCAGCATAGATTACATGATTTCGCACAGTTGGATTTCCTCTGTTCAAGTGTATAGAACGTGTTGCCGCAGAATCCGTTCTTCACCCAATTGGCGCAACTGCAATGGAATACATTGATGGAAAAATAAGGATGTAAAGATTTATAGGGTCTTACTTGGAATTCGAATCAACGGCAGTAGTGCAGGTGCCGGTTCCGCTTCCAGGGGCAACTGAACATAAACTGTGTGTTAGTAGATGAGCATGTGTGTACTAAAGAGTAGTGTAAGTAATACGACCTGTTGCTTGTGTTACAGTTGCAGCAGTCGTAGACGTGGCGCAGTAACCGCAAGTTTTCTGGCAGTTTTTCTAAAATTCGGCAGAAATTACATTACTGCAATGAAAGAAAATAAAAAAGGCACGGGTTTTACCTTAACGAAGTCTTGCATATCAACATTTCTGCAGATGGCTGGATCATTCTCGCATTCGATTACGGTATCGACACATCCACCTGATGTCAGATATCAGAATATTCGGGAGAACAGACCGTGGAGTATTCTCACCTTCCAGGCAGAAACCGCAAACATTTGGGCAGTCTTCAGCCAGAATTGGTCTCCATGATGGATCCCTGCACTGAGCTGGAGTGACAGTCGAGCATTTCACTCGTGGAACTAAATTTTTGACAATTATATGAACCTGGTTACAGGTATGCGACTAGAATTCCCTACGAACAGTCTTTGTTTTTGCATTTGTACTCGGGAGTCATACAACAATAGCCACAAGTTTTCGGGCAATTGGCGATGGCAAAAGCTTTCACATCTTCGTCCTAAATGGAATAAATATCTTCGCATTTTACCCAATTTGACAACAACTTGTGTAGCATACCGTCGAGCAAGCTGCGTCTCTGTCCGCTGTTCCCATAGGTTCTACTGCTGTAGGGAAAAATGTAGTGCAAGTTGTTGATTTGTATTTGTCCTCACATGCTGTAGCCGATGCGACAAACTGAAACTCTTGCCGGTAGAGGGCATTTGAGATCTATGATCTTTCAGTATTACATTCGGTGGACAACAACTGTGCTCAAAACAACCAGAGCTAGGTAAAACTCCTTCCCGATAGGTAAGACTTGGATTCCGATCTTGGCTAAATTTTCAATAAAAACATTTCTTGTAATGATTAACGAACCGCTGTAGCAGCGGCATCGCCATTGGTGCAGTTCATGTCGGTAAAGGCTGCAGCTGAAACAGAAGACGCCAAAGCGAAGCAGACGACCACCACAAACACCATTGTTTATCTGAAAATATTGAATATTTGCGTATATGCACATAAAAGCATGGCCAAATATTTTACAATTGAAACATTTTGAAAATAAAAGACGGATGGCGCCGTTTTCTAGAGATACATTCGCAGTCTTTTGAGTATTCCAGCAGTAGTTTGCATTTTTGCCAATCGCGCATTGCTATATAGTGTTACGGGCTTTCCAAATTTTTAAACCCCTAATCGAAGTGAATTTCAATTTTGGAATGCGAAAAAGCCAGGAAAATAACCTATTCTAGATATAAAATCAGAATAATAATTGTTTTTTTGAGAACTGCTCAACAGAAAAAGCGTGGAACTGAATGGAGATGTGAACAGGAGGGCGAAGGCCCTCTTTTATAAGTCGCCGTTATTTGATGGTCCCGTGTAAGGACGAGCATCTGTTTAAACATAATTCCAATGTTCTATTCATTCCCACATTCAGATCGCTCACAATGGTCTGCTCTGATCTCCTGATTCGTTATTGTATCGAATCGTGGAGTCCATGGGCCCTACAACATTGAAACGATGTAGATTAATGTAATTTGGCATGTAGACGGGTGGATACAGAAGCCTTAGGAGGAGAAAGGAGATGAGGGACTTAGCGAAGCGTTAGTCGTAAAGGGACACTTGAGACCATGTTCACTCTTAGTGAGTCCCAACATGCTATTTCAATGTATTAAGTGTTTTTGTGGAGTCTCGGATAGAATTATCACCGAAGTTCGTACCTTCTGTTCGGCTGAAGTTTCGGCCTATCGTCTTCCAGACACTGTGAGCCGAAAATGCAAAGGTTACAACGTTGAAATATCAATAGAGGGTCCACAGGAAGGCGTCATTTGTGAAGGAAGTCGTTTAGAGTTGTAGAATAACAGGATCATTATTTGAACAATGAATGATCCTCTTTCCACGGGATATTTTCCAGAAATTTCCGTTTGCGAACAAATTTGCTCTTTTTAACACAAGTCAGAAGCGATCAACTTTGAAAGCAGCGCTGTTCGTGAATTCAGATGTGCTCATTATGAAAAATGGTTTCAAACAAACAATTTCTTTTCAAGATTAAAGTATTCTTGTGCCGTGCAAGGTTGTTAGGAGGACTTTAGGTGGTTGTTGCTGTGAGCGGTATCGCAAGGGTGTAGAAAATGTCGCACTAATACGCAATGTGCGACTTTTATGTCGTCTAGAGCTGTGGAATCTTAGAGAGTTGAACTTCGAATTAAGGTTTTTTGTCGTCTCATTCGCCATCGTCTCATTCGCCAGAGGGGGACATGCGCTTTTTGGATACCGTGCAAGTCATCTTCACTTGCTTCAGGCCTTTG